ATACAGTGATCAGCTGATAATTTCTCTCTGTGTGTTTGTGTTCTATTGCATAGAAAAAGGCACAGCTCTGAGGTCTGTGTAAAATACAGCCTTTGCAGAGGGACTCAGCCTCGACTGTGGTCAGTCCTTATCTGCGGTTAGAAATTGCCGCACGCTCGGACAGCGCTTAAACCGATTCGGTGACAAACACTGATCGAAAAAGACTCAGAACCTTGAATGTTGTTCATACTATGTACATTACTTTTGGCATCAGAGCATCTGACAGGCTTTGGAGACTTGACATCTGAAGGTTTGAGATGGGCTTTTTGAGTATTGCTGCATGAACTCTTCGCCTTCAACTGGAAAGTGATGAACAAGAGAGTACAAAAGATGTAAAAAGTTGTGGCTGCCACCCCAGAAATCAAAAAAACAAAAAACAATAACAATGCAACAAAACAAACATAAACATAAACAAGATAATATAATTACCTATGTATATTAAAAAAAATGGCTTCCACCCCATAGTTCCACACTCGGATACATTCCTTTTTGAAGTACATTCCTACCACACATTCTGTACACACATTTACAATCCAAATGTTCACATAAAAAATAAATATATTTACAAAAAAAGGGGGAAAAATCCATACGAATAAATAACTTCATTGACAATTTAAAAAAAGGAAAGAAAAACAAGCACTCCAAAATTTAAATATGGTGAAAGCAACAAGATACGGTCATCAAGAAATGGTATTAGTTGGTGCTGCCATGTGCTCGGCTCACACTCTGCTTCGGTTTAAAATGCCATTCTTTTACAAGCTAGTTGAAGTCAAATGTACCCTGGGAAGCTGATGATCTTCCACTGGAACACAATGTTCTCGAACAATACCGCGAGACCACCGCAAAGCTGTGCTGGCAAACACACGAGGGTTCAGGGGTTCTTACGGTGACTTGCTGAAAAACGCTTCCATAATCAAAATAGCCACCGGTGGCATTCCCCGGCCCTCTGGATCATTGCAGTGTCCAGAAACGCTTCTTCTGACAGATGCTGTATGATGAGAAAATACAGCACACAGCAGCTACAATGGTGACTAACACTAAAGCTGTGCTCTCTGGTGCCCCTTCTATACTTTCACTAGATGATTCTGTGTAATATGTACCTTGCAGTGATAAACCCACAGACAACTGTTACTCAGAATCACTTAACTGCCAGTTTTGTGTTTTAGTGCCATAAATATTCACTGGTGACCTCTGCTGGGTGGGGGTTGGAAGTGTTTTGAAACAACACTTTGCATGGTTGCAGTATCAGGTTAACACTGTGGTTTGGGTTTCCTACTTCACCCGCATTCTTATTATTTACGAGTCAGATTTAGACCTCCTGGCCCGTGAGCTTTTTGAGGCAATCTCAAAATTGTCCTGCAGAACCATGAGATTTTGCACTTTAGGGCTTCTATTCTAAGCACAAGTAAACATACTCAGGGGGTGTGTAATACTGTATGTCCTGCTACAATTTGCCAGTCACCTGTGTTGCTAAATCAGAGGGAACTAAACCTCACCCAAAAAATAATAGTCCTACTAACCGCTCACATTTTTCTTGTGTAATTCCAAGAGTTGCAGTGGTACCACAGTGAATTTCCCTGCAATGGGGTAACAGCTGTTTTGTTTTCAGGCCTGCGCAGCTAAATTTAACATGCGTGTAGTGAGCCCTAAGCCTCTGCTTAGGCTGCACTTTTCACATCATCTACATCCGACTGGGAGCCATGAGTCGGTGCTGCTGCTGCTGCTGCTGCTGCTGTTGCCTCTAATGTAAACACGCCGAGCTTTCCCCTGTGGGTGTAGCTCATTTGAATTCTGCTGCAAGTGAATCATGATAACCAGCTCATATGACCGAACTCATGTAAAACAGCATCCAGCACAGTTATATGTGCTTGCTGATAAGGAGAAGTACAAAAAAGAGTTTACCAAAACATCGGCGAGGCGTCGCAGAGCCACTCCCAAACTGTAATCGTATAGCCAAGCTAATATGTCATCTAGCACACTGGTAAAACTACATATTCCTTTTTATGCTTGCTTTACAAATAAAACATAGCATCTGTAATAAGATAGAGATTAAATAATTACTATTTGATCATGAGAAATTACCTTACTTAACGATAGTTTCAATACAATAAATTAAACAAAAAACATTAAGGAGTGACCTCTCTAGGCTGTTAAAACGAAAAAAAAAAATACTGTAAAAACAGGAATTGAATAAGTGGTCATTTTGAAAGGCACTCATCTGCTAAAAGCCATAATTACAGTGTGTGTGTGTGTGTCTCATGTTTATGCTTGTATTTCTTTACCTGTGAGGAGTAAGTGTCCCCACAAGGGTAGATAGAGTTGTCCACAACAAGGACAATTTCATTGCTTCTATTTACAGTTACTCCTTAGGGTTAAGGCTTAGATTAAAGTTAAAGATTACAAAGAGGATTAGGTTTCGGGAATGAAGGAAGTCAAAGGAGGTCCTCACAAGTATAGAAATACAATTATATGTGTTTGTTTCCCGGTTACTTCTTTTCCATATTTGGAAAGGCGAGGACAGTGCATGCACAGTGTTGTGTAGTAGTAGTAGTAGTTGTCATAGTAGTACTAACTGACATCACCATCGATGTTTACAATTACCGACTTTTGAAGAGAGTTTTAAAAAAAAACAATGTAAAAACAACAACCAGGAAAAAAATCGATCCCACGTTTTCATTCCAGTCTGATTAAACTGTTTCTCATCGGGGGGGCATCCTTGAGTCAGGAGCCCACCAACACCTCCATGATGTGGTCCAATTCTGTCAGATCAATTTTGAAAGGCTGATTGGCTGAAACCTGGGGGGCAGGGCCGCTGTACGGTGCCCCCAATGATTTGAGTAGGTCGTCCGCCGTCACCACTGGCGACACTTTGGCGAGGCCGCCGGTGCTTGCTGTCCCACCCCCTGCTCCCCCTGCTGTCGTGCAAGGGTCAAAGTCATACATGGATGTGTCAATGTCGGCGAACAGGACATCATCCAACGCCAAGTCTGAGAGAAAGGGCGAGGGCGAGGAAGAGGACGGGGGACAAGAAGGAGAGGAGGAAACGTCTACCAGGCCACCTGGGGGCACTGCAGGGAGAGTGTCCATTGGCCGGAGCTCAGCACAGCGGCCTTCCACTAGGAAAACAGCAGCTGCCTCTGGTTTAGCACCCGTAGTCCTGCAGTCTCTGGGTGAGCCGGTGGGTGTAGGTGGGAGGGGTTGGGTGGTTGGTGTGGGAGCTGGGGAGGTAGTCATGGTCGTAGTATTAGCTGCTGCTGTCCTTGTTATGGCTGTAGGAGGACCCAACTCCATGTCACTCAGAGAGGAGGAAAAGACAGGCACAGGGACAGAGGGGGCCTGGCTCAGAGGTGCTGAAATGGGAGGCTGCACTGGGGGTGGTGACAGCGGAGGGGTGGGTGGAGATACCGCGCAAAAGGCTGAATCTCCACCATCCTCCTCCAGTAAAGAGGCAGGAGTGAGGCAGGCCTCCAAAGGGGCAGGACAGGCCTCCAGACGGCTGGGGCAGGCCTGGGATACCTGGCAGTTGGGAGGCACCATTGGGTGGGGTGAAGGCGGAGGAGCAATCGCTGGCATCAGCAGTGCAGAAGGCTGGGATACCTGTGTGCTCGTTGCCGCTGACAGAACGCCGAAAGATGGCGGCGCCTCACGGAAGCCTTCGTCCATGGGGTCGTCGGGTGGCGGTGAGGGCGGAAGGAGAAGTGGCCGCAGGGAGCCCTCTTGCTTGAGTTCGTCCTGGATGCGGCGGAGCATGTTGTTGATGAGGACGCGGCGCTCCAGGCTGGGTTCTCCCAGCGGCCGTTGGCTGTACAGCTTCATCAGAGAGATGTTAAAGATGGTCTGCCGCTGCAAGGTGTACGACACCTTCGAAAGACCTTCTGGAGTGACGCCTAGCCCCCCTCCCGCCACCGGCGCCTCCAGCGTTTTGCCTTCCAGCCCCTCTTCATCCTCGTCCAGCTTTCGCTTCGCACCTTTACCGAACATATATCTGAAAAACAAATAAGCAGAGACAGAGGAGAGATTATTGAAGACGCATATAGCTTTGCTAACATTAGGGTTTAGCTGTCTTATCGCTGGATGTTACTGACATCACACAAAACTGAGAGTAGAAAAAAATGTCTGTTTAGAGTTTAGACTTTGCCCATTTTAATGTGATGATCCAGCACTGTGACAGCAAACATGACCGAAAAACAGGGAAAGCATAATAGGTCCACTTTATAAGCAACTGTGGTTTGGCCTACTCAACAATCACTGATTACACTGACCAGACACAAGTGTCAATTCTCTTTTCAGGTTATTGAACTTTTGTGACTATTCAACTTTTTCTTTTTTTTTTAAAAAAAAAGTCATTAATAAACCATCACTCCTTAATAAATAGCTAGTTTTTCACAGTCCTAGTTACTTCCTCTCACAAGTGGACGTTTCCCTGCTCTGTAAGTAGAGTCATGTTCTGGTTTGTTCCCCACAATACACCTCAAAACAACTCTGATATTCTAAAAAAAAGAAAAGAAAAGAAAATTCTCATCTTGCAATTGAGGGATATATTCTTATGGTGAGCAAAATCCAGCATCCCAACTGGATTACAGTATAAAATGATCATCAAACCCAACCTCATCTCACTAAAACACTGACATACTCCACAGTGAAGTTTTCAGACTGAAGCATAGCAGCTTAACTGGCGTGATTCAAGAAGCTGCTTAAACGCAACGAGCTTACTGTGACAGGGGATTTTAAAAAAACACATATATTGAAACCATAAGCAGCTGCATTGGGAGCCTCACCACTGCACACTAAGGCCCAGCACACACACACACACACACACACACACACACACACACACACACACACACACAC